AAAAAAAAAAAAAAAAAAAAAAATGCATAGAATAAATAAAAGAGACATATATATACAAATAGGGACAAGAAAAGGAAGAAGACAAACCTATATGACATCAACCTTGATTAACCTATATCTTTCTAGAATCTTAATCTCAAATTATAACATGTTAACCACTACATTTCTCTTGGCAATAGTCAATCCTATCAGTAACGAAAGCTTCAGACATACCGCGCAATTCAAACTCTCCCGCAATATCACAACAAACAAGGCCCCATATTACAATCAGTGAACAAAACTATATCAGCAGTCCCTCCCCAAGCGTGCTATTATCAGATACTGAATCAGATTTACTGGCACAGCTAGATCTACAACACAAACTCCTATTGATATTCTAGCATTCAAATACCTTACAGCATCCTACTCGAATCACCCCTATGCCAGCTATTTTAAACCAATCCCTGTGGATTAGTTGAGAAAAAAGAAACAAGCCCTATAATGTATCGAGTAATCTCTCACCTATCATCCCATTCCAACAATAGTATAAATAACAGAATTGATAAATTGGAGTTTACAACGAAGTACGAGAATATCAGCCACGCAATTCGATAAATCAACCACTTTGGAAAAAGATGCACCTTTTCAAAGATTGATATCAAAGATGCATACCGTATCTTACCAGTTCATCTCGTAGACCAGTTATTACAAGGAATCTGCTATAAAGACAATTTATATTTTGACAAAGTTCTCATTTTTGGAAATCGGGCTTCAGGTGGCATTTTTTGTCAGTTTGCTGATGCTATAGTCTGGATTGCGCACCAACAAAGAATCCCAGAATTATTCACTATGTGGACGATTTTCTCATCATATCACTATCTGATGGAACACGGAAATTGCAGCAATTCATTTGCATCCTAAAAACAATTAACATACCGTATAAGAAAACAAAAATGGAAGGGCCTGCCACCACAGTATCTTTCTCAGCATAACCCTGGACACAAAAAATATGACAGCATCTATCCCAAGCCAAAAACAAAACAAATTAATGTCACTACTAGATCAATGGTTAGCCAAAAAGTTTTGCCTTCGAAAAGATCTTCAATCTCTAGTAGGTTCATTAGTATAGGCCTGCCAAATAATCTCCTAGGGTCGCCCATTTGTACAATGCATCATCAGCGCCCAAAATCTTTCT